CGTTGATGCAACCTGCCCCGCAGGAACGGGCAGCCGGGCGCTGTAATTATTAAACCTTTCAGCAGCAACCCAGAGCGCGCAGCGAGGAGGAGAAAGGGCGCTCGCGACAAAACCCCAGCCCTCTGCAGCTTTGGGCAAACCACTTAATCTCTGCTTCCACACCACCGGGTGGGCTTCATCCGCCGTTTTCTGGTGTCTTCTGGCAAGGCAGGACCAGAGACCGCATCCCTTTTGTGGGAGTCTCGAGGTATTATTGCCGTATTAAGTATTCGTGTCCTAACCAGTAACGAACGCTTCTAATGAGCAGCAACTGCTGCTGGCCTGCACTTAAACACACCCACCACGTACGCTGGGATCCAACAGCACAACTGCTCTGCAGGGGCAAGGTCAAGGCTCTGCCTTAAACCTATTACTCACGTAAGACAGTAATTACTCCTAATCTCGGAGCAAAGCAAGGGGGGAGAGATTAACCCGCCGGGAGCGCGGCTGAACCTGTTACGAGAGCAAGTGGCCTGGAAACCTCCGTGCTCCTCTTAAAAGTTTCAGCTGCGTGCATGAAGGGGAGGAGGATGATAGGACGAGGGGGAATCGACGATAGGACGAGGGGGAATGGTTTGAAGCTGCACCAGGGCAGGTTTAGGTTGGACATTAGGAAAAACTTCTTCACCAAAAGGGCTGTCAGGCGCTGGAAGGGGCTGCCCAGGGAGGGGGTCGAGTCCTCATCCCTGGAGGGATTTAAAAGAAGGAGAGATGAGGTGCTGAGGGCCAGGGTTTAGGGGTGGGATGGCAGGGTTAGGTTAAAGGTTGGACTCGAAGATCTTAAAGGGCTTTTCCAACCAAAGTGATTTTATGATTCTATGAGCCGGAGGCCGTCGTCAGGAAAGGCCTGGCCCTTCTCTAGCAGCTGCTGGGGCTGGGGAGGAGAAGAACCGTGGGGTGGTGGCAGGGCTGGGCTTTGACCACGGCATCGGGTGCTCCGTCAGACGGCGCGGGGAGGAATCGGAGGGCATTCCTCAGGCTGCCGCTCTCGGCACAGCGTCGCCAGCAGCTGGCGGGGCAGCCCCTTCCCCTCATCCCAGAAGCGTGTCAGCTCGTTTATCTGCAGGCAAACGCGCGTGGCGCCGACCTCCGCTGCAAGGTAGGGAGAGCAGGAGCCGGAGGAGCGAGGGCTCCTTTGACACTCAGCTTCGGAGCTGGCCCAGAGCTGGGTTTGCGGATCACGGCATGGCCGAGAGCTCGGCCAGACAGCACGTCTTCTCCACTCCGCCTAAATAGCAGCATGGTGTGGTCCCAGCACTGTTGCTCTTTCCCAGCAAAGCGTTTAAGATAGTCACAGCTACAAAGGTCGGTAAGTATACACACACCCTCCCCTTCCTCCTCGGCGTGCTCCGTTTGGGATCCTGGAGCTGAGACATGGTAATTCTGAGAGTCAGCAACGGCTCTGCTGGGGGAAGACCTGTAATTTATTTTGTCTTCCTTAAAATGGCCTCGCTGATGGGTGCATCACTGGAGTCTGGAAAGTGGTGGCCCTAAAAACAGCTACAAAACCTCATGGCTTTTTTTTTTAAAAAAAAAAAAAAAAAGATATTCAAAGCAGCAGCAGCTCCTGCACATCAAACCCGCAGATGACGGAGGACTTGCTGCTGCAGAGGCAGCAGGGACTGAAGGTGAAAGAAAACATTCTTCAACCAGGAAACCCAAGTTAAAAACGGTCAGGTGGGTTTAACACCCCGGCATTTTACAGCATTTCAGTTTCACTGTGCCTTTCATCACCACGCACGGGGCTTTCCTTGGCGTGACTTACTGATGAGTGGCTTTCCATGAACAGATCTCATCTCCCCCCCTCTTCTTCCTCCCCTCCTGGGGAGTTTCTCGGAGGGACAGGCAGCGGAGCAGCCCGACCCCAGCCTGCCCGACCCACCCTGCCGACCCCGGCAGGCAAAGCCCAGACGTGGGCAGCGGGGCTGCGGAGCTGGGCGATGAGTGTGGTTCCTCCATGGTTTAAGAGGTGTAAATTCAGAGAGTTCAGAGAGTTCCCTGGGCTTTCCTGCTCACGGACTTGCTGCTCTCCAGAGCTCACGTGGCCAAACAAGCCCGGGTACCGCAACCACCGAGCCGGTTCCCAGAGCAGAGTGAAAGCTCCTGGAGGACCCGGTCCCTGACTGAGGGGACGCTGTGGCTGTGAGCACGTTACCTGCTCCAACCCCCCCAGTGCCAAAGGGAGCTTTACCTCTGGGGCTCCTTTGCTGCCCCGGCAGACTGCCGGTGAGCCGGCACGCAGCTGAGGATAGGCTCCGGTTTGCTATCCTGGGCAGCGCAAAATTAACCTTCCCTAGTTCTGCCATAAACATGCCTCAAAGCCCAGCGAAGGCGTGCCGCCGTCCTTTTTCATTTGCAAGAACACAGCAGCTGAGAAATAACTGTGCAGGCAGCGACTTTTTGAGAGAAACTGCGTATGGACGGTGAAGCCATTCCGCAAAAAATGGGGCAAAAAGACCGGAATGCATGTGAGCCACCTCACCTCCCTGTGTGACCCCCCCTATAGGAAGGGGTCTCATCTAGAAACGCTGCAGTAGCTGAGCTGGAGACATCGCAGCAGCATGCACGTGCTCGGGGAAAACCCAGAGCCCTTGCCCAGGGACCCTTCCCGCTCTGTCCCGAGGCGCCACGTGTCGCGCTGCTCCAGCTCCTGTGCTCACCTTGATCCTCTCGATGCCGGCTTCGATGCGGAGCTGCTCCACCAGCTTCCGGGCCTGCGCTATGTTGTTAGTTGTTGACATTGTCTGCCATCGGCTCCAGGCCCCAGCACGTGAGAATCCTGCAAAACAAGGAGGGGGGAGAGAGGGGGGTTGGTATTGTGCACGAAGCTGCCACGCCACCGTGCGCCATCTCGGAAAGGGCTGTGCACCCATGTCCTCACCGACAGCCACGTGCCAAGGGCTTCCACGAACCCTAAACTGATGACACCAACTTAACGTTTCCTGATTCCGCTTCAAGTTCTCCTTTCCTTTAAACAGCACTCTTGGCGCACTCTCGTCAGGCGGATTTTGTTTTTTTTTTTTCATTAAAAAGCTAAACAGAAACTTGCCGACAAGAGGGAAAAAATGGAACTTTTTCTGCAGAAAATCCTGCCAGATGCATTCAGCTGACCGACAGGAAAAGCGAACAGAAATTTTCCAGCCCGTGTTATCTGCCGTGCGCTGCCTGCAGCGAGCCAGGCAGGGGGAAGGTGGATGAGGACACTGCTCGCCCAGGACCACACACAGCTCCTGGGTGTTCACCCTCACTTTTCATCTGCTCGTCGCACTGCGGCCGTCGTCCTGCCCTGACTCCTGTGTCAGGATTTCCTCTGCACGAGGAGGCTCCAGGCAGCTGCTAGAACTGCTCCGTGCTGTACAAACTCGGACCTGTGCTACCCATCGGTTTGCAAATCAATGTCCCGGAAAAAAGCAAAGCACAAGCGAGAGATGGTCCCAGGCTGGGGGGGAGGTGGCAAGTCAGGGCTCAGGCAAGGGGCAGAGGTTTCTCAGATGCCAAAGCACTGGATGGACGCAGGGGACAGGCAGCGAGGCACAGGCACAGACGTGGGGAGGGGGGAATGAAAGCACGAGAGGCACCGATAGCTCATGTCTCAAATGAACTTTCCACAGAAATGGCGCAAAATAAGGGCCCAGCTGAACATGGAAATGAGGAGAGCACCACAGGGCGAGCCGGAGCCAGAGCGGAGCAGGACCAGGGCTTTGCCGACGCACAACTCCTTTCCGTGCACTAAGTGTCTGGGCTCTGAGGGTCTCATGGACCCCATCCAGCTGCCAAACTCTGCACCCATCCCCAGCCATGCTGATCGTGGGGCTTTAACGCACCCATCACCTGGCCGTGTCCAACCTGTACATGGGGCTGTGTCCAACCTGTACATGGGGCCGTGTCCCTGCGAGCGCCACGCTGCAGCCGGCCGCCTCGTCAGGGAGAATGCAGGCGGTTAAACAACCTCCCTGGAAATTTAAAAGCAGCAACTGAAGAAGTTTGTCCATGAGACCAACGTAATCCATCACTGTCACTCAGGCCAGAGCCGTGGGGCAGCAGCCAGGGCTGCAGCACATGGGGGGGCAGCTCCGGCCACCCTGTCCAAACCGACTCCCCCGGCCAGACACCGTTCTCAGGTCCTTTCTTTATGATAACTCCGTGGGGCTGCTGCAGAGGTGTCAGGAAAAGTCACTTCCTCGCCCTGCCTGGCAGTGACTCAGCCCCTGACCATTCAATAACGGCGGGGAATAGGGGGAGCGGGCTGCAGCGAGTACCACCTCCCACCTCCCACCGCCTGACAAACCATTAGATGATGCTGGGAGGAGGAAAGAGCCAAAGCAAACACAGGGTCAGATACCAGCGGCGCTCCCAGCGCCCCAGCCAGCTGCCCACTGCAGCCCTTCTGTGCTAGCTTTAATTAGAGGCTCCTTCAGTCTCCTCCCCAGGACTGGCAGCTTCAAAGCAGATGCTGAACTGCTGCCTTTTCTGGGGGGAAAGGAGGGGGAAGCGTCTGCCCCATCTAAAATCCTAGCAGACTCGAGCTGTCTCGCCTATGTTTAGACATGAAGGGAGTTTATTCCAGACCACAATGGCACTCTCGGGGATTATTTTGCTCGGCAGCAGCATGCAACGTGTGCTGAACTTCTCAATCCCTGAACGGTCCTCAGCTTCGTTTGCAACACCGAACACTGGGGGAGAAAACAAACGGTGCTTCAGCCAGCGTTACCAGCGCTGCCATGAGCCGATTCCCTGAATTAGCGGGGCTATTCGGAAATCTCTGCCTCTCGAGTCCTGGAAGACGTTAGTCAGGGCGACATGGGAAGCCACGCTGTTGAAATAAAGTCTGGTACTGTGGAAATTGGGAGAAGGAAGCAGGCTGGTCCCCGGGGGAAGGATCCTCCTCTCCCGCCCCGATTTCCTAAGCCACAATGCTGCAAGAGAGCGACTCGGCTGGTTTGCAGCAAAGCAGGACGCCCTCGTGCTAGCAGCGCTGGTGTCACGCCTGGGCTCAGACTCGGGCCTCGGTGAGACGGCGCTGTGACTTTATCCAAAGGGTCCAGAGTCCTACAACGAGCTCGGCCAGCACCCAAAGTCCCCCATCAGGGTGCCAAACTACACGCACCGAGCTACCTCGCCTGGCACGGCGGACGGGTGCTCGTCCCAGCCTTCCTGATGCAGCACAGGGTACGCTCTGCTCTGGTCTCTTTGCCATGAAAAAGGAGGTGGGAAAGCTTTATCTTGGGAGATATCTTGCTCCTTCAGCATCAAGTGCTCTATAGACCCCAGCCCTCCCGGGTTCTTTGGGATTTCAGAGCAGCAGCTTGTGTTCCACCCTGCTGAGCAAGAGCTGGGCACCGGCCGCACCAGTGCTACTGGCAATTTTTATGCCATGAATCCCTGGAAAAAGCAGGGAAGTTTTGCCCGTTAGGCAGCTAGTGCACACGCGGCTACTTGTGGTCATCTTCTGATCAGCTGCACTTCCGAAGAAATCCCCACCAATGGCACGTGCTACGGTGAGAGCACTCCAAAATAGCGCAGGCAGCATTAGGAGCAGGGAAAAGCTCTACAGTCAAGCTCTTTCTAAATCTGTACCGTGAACTTGAAAGACCTCCCCGCTGCAAACAGTTCACTCCTCATTGACAAAACAATCCTTCACCTGGATAAAGAGTTAGCAGGCAGCTGGAAGAAAAAAAAAAAATACAAGCACTGAGGCATAAATTATGTTTGCAGCAGCACGAGATCACCTGCTTGTGCTCTCCCAGCTTCCTGTTTATGGAACAGGGCTGATGAATCAGTCGAGGGCGAGTTCCGCAGTGCTGGAGAGGGACAGCCCGTGCCCCCGGCCCCGCAGCATCCCGCTGCACGGGGGACACCGGCCCGGCTGAAGGAAGGACGTGTTTTACCAAGTACAGCGTGGAGAGAGTCCGGCTGCGCGGCAGGAGCTACCGAACGACTCTTAAAAGTCCTTGGCAGGGGGGGGAGAAGTTTTACTCCCTGCTCTCCCCGTAGCCTGGTTTCATGGAGTCTTGCCAAGCAAAAGGAACGCTTGTAGATCAGAAATGATGCTTTGCCGGGGTCATTACGGCATCAAAGCGGGCAGGCACCTGCCTTCCCCCCCCGTGCTGACAGCCGCTCTCCGGCTCGCCGCCACCACCGGGCAGCCAGCCAGGCCCTGCTTTGCCTACGGCAGCAATGCCACTTTGCCTCTACCGAGCATAAAGAGCAGCATCAATCACCACTGCGCACAGGGGTAGCACTTTTACAGCAATAAATTCTGCAGCAGCAGCTTCTATTTCCTCCTCAGCCACTGTCACCCAGAGGCAACAGCGCAGGGCTCCTTCCGGGAAACCGGGAACCGAGCGAGCGGCTCCCTGCACGCCGTGCTGACCGCACAGTTCCTCTCGCAGCGTTTTAAATTTCCAAGTACAAGTTTCAGCAGCCGAGCTCTCAGAAAAGGTCCAGGGGAGTTTTGCTGGATGCAAAATCCTCCTCCAGCTGCAGCCCGCAGCAGCTGCCCATCCCGTGCATCCCTGGGGCGCCTCGGCAGCTCCCGGGCCAGACCTGTCGAGCTGGGGGGGCTGCGG